TTACTGGAAAAGTTTCTAAAACTTGTATGTTTTCCAATAGTACTAGCCGTCATATAGGAAGGATGATGACTATAAATAAGGTGCATACGAATTTGTGGTAATATGCATAGAATTTGACTTGAAAGCTGAGTGTATGAAGCCGCTAAAAATTATATAGAGAATCGTGTAGGAGCTTATTAGTAAAAGCTAACTGTATGAAAGTTTGTAAGTGTTTTTGTTAATCTAATAAAAATATATATATATCTACCGAGAAAAAACTAACATTTCCTCTTTGAAAAGAATAAGCTTAATGTAAAGACGATTAAAAATTAAAGAATTATGTAAGGTTATTTAATTAGTTAAAATATTTATGTGAAAAGTTCTAGGGTAGATCTTAGCGTTTTGTTATAATGTCAGTCATGCCGTTATATAAGGAGGATGATGTCTACAAATAAGGTCTATGCTAATTTGTGCTAATATGCATAGAATTTTACTTGAAAGCTGGGTGTATGAAGCTGTTAAAAATTATAGAGAGAAAATTTGATGGTAAAAGTTAAGTGTATGAAATTTGTAAGTGTTTTTGTTAGTCTGATAAAAATATATATATCTATCGAGAAAAAACTAACATTTCCTCTTTGATCCGAATAAGCGTGATGTGAAGAGGAGGATAAATTACATAATTTTTTTTTTTTTTTAATGAGTTGATCAGAATAAGCGTGACGTGATGGAATGTTAACTAAATATAAACAAGAAAGACAACATAATGTTTGGTTATTAATTTTTTTTTTTTCAAATTCATAATTGTCCTAATGATAATTTCTCGTTCTCCTTTTGTGACCTATGAAAAGATAAGTTCACATATCAGCAATTTATAGGTCCTAACCCAGGAAATAATGTAGAGAAAGTAACCTTTAACATATTAACATAAATTGCTCAAAACGCAGAAAATCTAAAAGGACAAACAAGGAATTAAAAAGTCCGAAGTACACTACTTATGACAAGCATCAAGCCCAATCCAATATACAACTAAGTCCAGGCCTTCAATCAACCAAGCCCAATCTCCTTGAATACTTCTCGTCTCTCTATAAATTTAGCTTCTGATTTCCTATTCAATGAAGTTGTAAATAAATATTCTTTTACTCTCTCTCTCCCCATTGCAAAAAGAAAATGCAAGATTTGAAAAAGGCATGCAATTTTTGGAAAAAGAAAATCTGATGTTGAAAATAATATTTTTTTGTTACTCATAGATCCACAACTCAATTCCTCCACCAAATTATTCAACCTCAACTTTGAAGTTGAACTTTTATTTGTAGAATTTCTATTTTCCAAATGCATTTCATTTGAAGACAATTCTTATGCTTCTTCATCTACTTATTTATTTGAGATATGGTGTGATAGTCCAGTGTAGGGCATGAGATGCTTTTGGCCAAATGCTCAGGTTTGAATTCCCATTCCATCAATTAACACGACGTATCGGCCGATTTGTAACCCTTTTACAAGGGTCCGATAGTGTTACTTTACAAACTTTCATGAACCGACTGGTTCGGCCGGCTTACATCAATATTCGCCTAAGTCCGTTATACTGTGATCGCGAACAACTGCGATTGTGTTGCATACTTTTGTGTACATTTGTAAATTAATCCAACTCAACTTCATCATCATTGTAGATATTTTCTTTTTTTGGCAATTTTGTTCTTGAAAGAAAAAGGACTTGTCATATCAAGAACCTTGTTATGTTTTTTAATTTACTCTGTATATTGATCATTAAATTGGCAAAGAAAACCCTCTTCTTCTTCTTTTTTTGTCTCTTACTATTTATATTTTTTCTATCAATCCATCCAAGACAAATGCTAGCTAGCAAAACATAGATAAAACACTTCATTGGGATATGTGGAAACAAACAATTTACAGTGTGTATGTGTATATATATATATATATATATATATATATGCAGGGCAACCTGCAAACAAACACAACAAAATTAGGGCTATTATCTTATGTCTTGGGGACTGAACTTGTGGATCTGAATCTGCTTCTTCTTCTTTTCACTTTTCTGGTCTCTTTATAGAAAGGCAACAGATGGGACTCCGTTTTTAGTGCTTTTCAACAACTCATTTTATATGTATTTTATTTGTACCTTCAATTATTTGAAAGCTCACACAGTTTAGAAGCTATGGACCTATGTGGTTAAAATTATTTGTTTCACCTAATAATTTAATGCTTAGTTTAGAAGATTTTTTAATGCTTAGTTTAGAAGATTTGGTCGTGGACAAGTATGTTCATGTTGTACCAAGACAATCTCTGCCACAAGCAATTTCTAGGCACCTTCTTTGGCTCAAAACATCAACCACGTTCATTTAGTGATGTTGCATTGATACAATATTGTGTAAATGTTGTTTTGGTTTCTCCTAAAAGAGAAATAAATAGCAAAAGTCTCATCATAGTCAATTTCAGCTTGTTGAGGATACCCTTTGCATACCAATCTAGCCTTCTTTCATATCACTGCACCCTTTTCATTCATCATGTTTATGAAAATCCACTTAGAGCCAATGACATTTTTGTTCTCCGGCCTTGGCACAAATCATACTATATTGGCTTCATAATTATATAACGTATGACGTGATATTTTATGTAATTTGAAATTGGTTATTACCATTTTGAGCAAATGGTAGTCTCGAACACATTCCTCGGACTCTCCCAATCCAAAACGGCCTCGATCCTAGAAGGATTGACTAAAACTCCCCCTCCAGAAATAAAATGTTCCATAAACTTCACTTTCGACAACCAAAACTCACACTTTTCATAATTAGCATACAAACGATATTCATTCCAATACATTAAAGTCTTTTTGAAGTCAACCAAATTGTAGCGAAGAAGAAAAACATCAAGAGCCGAAAGCAGAATCAAGATCGATCGTGAAAATAAGATCGATTGTACTCATTCTCAAACCGGATATCAAAAAACTACTCAAATAATGTACCCGATAAATTTATAATATATTATATAAGACTTCATTTTTTAGACTTTATAACTACTCATTCTAAAAGATGAGAGGAAGAGTTCGAGCTCGAGGGTGAATAAAAAGTGTGTGAGCAGGTGTTTCTTATTGATGAAACAAAAAATCTATTCAAAGAGAGTTTTTTAAATATTCCAGAATATTAACAATGTAATACTTTCGGTAAATAATTATTTTTTGTCACCGACAAAAAAAAAAAATAGAAATTTTTATTGGGAAAATATATTACATAATATATTTCTCTAAGAGCATTAATTTATTATTATTATTATTATTTTTAAAAAGGGTGAATTCACATAACAATCTAACCTATTTGTTGAATGGAGACAATTAAAGTTAAACTCACACGCTGTTTAAGGTCATCGTTTCGGTTCAACAAATAGGTTATACTAATCCGCTTTAAAATCATTTCTCTTTTAAATTTAGTTTATCATAATTTGGGAAAATAAATTTAACTGAAAATAGACATTGTGAGGCTGTCCCAAATGGACCTTTCACATGCCCTCACATATGGGTGTGTCGGGCGAAATGTCTACACCTCCATTCATGTACATTTTTAAGCACGTGATGTACATGTGGTTGGGCACCCACTAATCGGAGCCATTAAAATTAATCAGAGCCGTTCACATGGACGACTGAGCATATTATTATCATAATCGATCGGATCCAATGATCAAAATCTCCTGGCCTACCCACCTTATCTTGTTAGAATTTTTTTTTTTTTTTTTTAAGAGTGTCCGGGATAGCACGACTCCTCAACAATTCGATTAATTTTCAAGAATACAGAAGGGCACCTCTTCACTCGGGCCGAGTAAGTCACTGCGTGATAGCAAAAGTTAGCCACAAAGAATACTCAACAGTACTTGAACCCGAAATCCTAGACTTATTAAGTTCCAAAGTCGGGTAAATAAACCGCTATGCCATATTCAAAGTGAATTATCTTATTAGATATTGATGTCTCATTTCTTATCATGTGCATTATTCATCATGGTAATTGTATTTTTTTTTTTTCACACAGCGAACAAAGAAATACAAGTATATACATACATATATATACACACATATACACAAAGAACATATATACATAATTACGTATATTATATGAAAATAATATATATATATATATAAAGGTAATAAAAAAAACAAAAACGAAAACATCCAAGTCAAATCTTGAATTATTATGCATATCTGTATAAATATTAATGAAGTTTACTGATGAATATTAACCCAAATGATATAAAATTTGAAACACCAAAAACATAATAATATCTGAAAATTTTGGTGGAACATCAAATTATATATAGATATACACACAAATACAATTATAAACTTATAAGGCTACAAGTATACATCCAAAGGAGTGGCCTGCCTTCATAGATCATATCTCCCCAAGGAAATAGTCTTTTACAATCTCAATATAATATATTTTTTAATTGGTGTGGAATTGACTAAGACAACTGTCACACACACACACACACAGTTCACAGTTTTCAACACTTTCTACCCAAAATCACTCCAAATTTCAAAGCAAGCGAGAAAACGTATTATACACTTTCACTTTGAACCAGTGCCGCAAAATTTACATTTATATCCATCATATTTTTCTCTTATTTTAAAAATATATATTATTAATATCAATAATATTATATAAAAAAAAAAGAAAAAATAATTATTATATTAATTACCGTTAATGTTATTGTTTTACTCAGTTTGCATATGATCACAATCTACCTATCTATCTCTCTCTATATACACACACACACACACACACACACACACACACACACACATGCATCACTTTCCTACAAAGAAAGGGTCTTTTACGTTAATAATCTACTGTCTCCAATTCCTCGTCCGGTCAATGATATATTCTTAAAAGAAAATTAATTTGTTTATCCATTTAAGGTCATACTTCGGGACTAGAGAGTCTTTGTTCTTAAAATACATATACCAATAAAATAAATAAATAAATAATTATGTTTTCCAAACTATACAGCCCCTTTTTTATTTTTTACTACGTTTGACGACCTCTCTCTCTCTAAGGAAGTTTGACACGCTCAACCCCCTCTTCTTATTAATCTCCTGTCCTCCCATTTCTCTCCCTCGACACCAATTCTCTCTCTCTCTCTCATACACACAGTAGGTATTTCTTTCTCTCTCTCACACACACATACACACAATAGTATTTAAGCTCAAGATCGAGATCAAGAGAAGCTAGAGATGGGTAATGGATACAATCACCATCTCCATCATCAAAAGCTCCAACACAGAGGCACATTCTTGCCAATGCTGTGTTCAAGGACATGGATCAAAGACGTGCATCTCCCCAAGCTATGGCAACGCCGCTCCGGCTCCTCCGGCGAGCCCACATCACCAAGAGTCAGCTGCATGGGCCAGATCAAGAGGAACAACAAAGTCACAGCCTACACCAAGACAAACCTCAAGTATCATAATTCCAACAAGCCCAAAAACCTCCTTCCCGCCAAAACTCACATTACCACCACTAGTGGTGGTGGTGGTAGTGCAAGAAGATCCAACTTCAGTGACCATTATCACAATTATGTTCCGGTTAATATCGTCGACATGGATCCACCACTGCCGGTGATCAAGAGGGTGCAGCAACCGGCTGAGGGGGGCCGCGACGAAACCAGTCTATGGAAGAGGAGATCTGGTGGGATGGCACTCAAAGGTTTACAGATTCATACACCTAATGGTCATCATTAGAGAATTCAATTTGAGGTATTGTTAAGGAAATAGACGTGTAAATTTGTTGATTTTGGGTTACAAAATTGTACTCGATGGATTATTTAAGTGAATGGTAAAAAATGAGTGTAAATTTTTGAAAGTCATTTGACATGGTCTTGTTTGAACAGCCTAGATATTCCTTTCTTTCTTTCTTTATATGGCTCCTCAGTCACGGTCAGTCAGGATTGCTGATGGCAAACAGTGGCATGATTTGGTCAAGCCACCTAAATATTATCGTCACTCTTGTCACTTGTATGTAGATCAATCCACCAATGGGCATAGCCCAACCAATGAAGGGTAACATTTTAGGTGTGCTTATTTACTTTAACTTTTAAAAAATATAAAGTAAATTCATCACCCAAAGTGGATAGTCACATTAAAAACTTTCACCTCATATCTTGAACGTCGGGTCAACCCGGTTCGAAGTAGATGGAGGTGAAAATAAAAATGGCGTTAGCAGGAAGGCAGTGAATGGTGATTCAACATCATCGTATAAAGCGGTCGCACTCTATGATTCAACCTCATTTTCTCAGGTGTAACAAAAAAAACTCATTTTCTCAGGTCTAACACTCCAAACCTTTATTCAGATCAAATTTTTAGGTCAACACTGATCCATGTCACGCCAACTCATATCTAGATTCAAACTCAATCCATGAAATTTTAAATTCAAAATCAGATCTTGTTTTAAACACGCCCATTTCAGCCCCCATTAACAAGAACTATGAGTCAAGCATTGCTCCGTTGAGGGCAAAGGACAAAACAAAAGGCTTCAGTTTGGTTCTCTTCTTGAGAAGGGAGACTAAACAAACTACAAAAAAAAAAAAAAAAAAAATATTCAGTAAGCAAGTAGTACACTGGGTCCAGCATCGTATCATACATTTCCTCATTACAACCAGCTATATATGGATCAGCTTTTTGTTAATAAATTTACAAAAATGACTTGTACACCAAGACATTCAAGAACAAATGGTTGAGAGATCTAATATTCTACTGGTTTCATACCCTAAATTTTTTATTTATACAGACGAGTCACAGGTCAAGCTACATAGCAAAGACAACTTCAACCTCAAGACCGCCACAGGTCAAGCTAGACAGCAAAGACAACATCAAGATCAAGTCCGCCACGATCTAGATGGTAACCATCAACCTTGTTCTTTATAAGGAGTCCATATTAGTTTGCTAACATCAACCTCAAGACCACCACGACCTGCGGCTTTCAGATGACGATCCAAGACCTTGGGATCTGCACAAATGACATGCTGCCCTTTCCGGTATTGAATCAATTCTAAGCTCTGAAGGGTGTTCAAAATATCCTCTGCCTTAATGGCTGTCATGTCACTAAGCTCCTGCAGAAAGCAAGTAATCAACAGCAACAAGTTAGAAAACAAAATAATATATAAACCAAGCATATAAACAATAAGAAAAGAAATCTATCAAAATTCCAGCATCAGGACATGTTAATACTTTTTCTCTTGCAGCCATCTGTTTGGGCAAATTATTCACATAATTATTTTGACTAATACGTAACACCCACACACAAAAGACAAAATTGTTAAGTACCTAAGGCCCTAAGCGCCTTGAAAGAGTGTATATACACACACATAATTGTTCTAAACAATTAAAAAATGGCATGTTAGGCTAAACAACACAAAATCTTACATTTCAGGGTATTAATATATAAACAAATGACAAGGTCAGCGTATAATAGATAGAAACCATAGAGCGTTTATATCAAAATATTAGAATTCACTTAAAAGAAATAGAAGTGCAAGCTAATGTGATCATATAAATAATATATAACAATTTTCTGTTAAAAAATCAGAACTCTGGCGCAATAGTGTCATTATGCGATTGAATCCACATTCATGGACCTCATGGTATTAATGATCTAAGGTAACAAGAAACCCTCCTCTATATTATTCTTTTCTTCCAACAACAAAACCCTCTGAATTCGATTTCAAAAAGCAATTAGAAAAAAATGTTGAAATAGGTATTGGATTTAAAAATCTCTAAAAGCCAGATCACAAGGATTTGGGATAAAAAAGAAGATGAAGATAGAATCTAAGGATTCCGTTAAAAACAGAGGTGAATTGCTGCTGCATCCGAGCTCTGAACGCCGGTTCACATAGCGGTAGAAAGACCTCAAACAGACAGATCATGCGACTGTGGTAAAGTATGCATTAGAAGCATATATTTAACTTAAGTAGACGACAGATGGGCTTTTACACTACAGTATTAAACCATTTTTGGCATTGCTGGGGCTTTTGACACAGAAACATCTACTGCAACAATCAATAGAATAATAACGCGAAGAAAGAAAATGAATAAAGGCAAGTTTAAAACTCCAATATATTGCATTTGGTTTTCCGAGGGATCGGTATTTGACAATATATGGGAATTTCATTTACTAAAAATAATATATTTGTGGTGATGACTCAATTCCAGAGGATTGTTAAATGCCTGCAAATAATAAGCATCGCCATCAAAAGGAAATGGAAAGCACTATGGCAATCTCAACTTCAATAAGTAACAAGTTCTGGAAAGAACCACAGGGAAATGGCCCGGGTAATATAACCACCCCTCCTATCTAAGAGGGAGGTGATGAGTTCGAGCCCTGTAGTGTGAATTTGTGGGGGGTGTGTGTACAAGAATTTATCTAACCCAAAAAAAATTATAATAAATAAATAAATCTAAAAAGAACATGGAGCAAGTGGGGCTGAGTCAAATTCACATTCATACCTTGATAGAGATATTTCCCTTGTGCTTTTTCAAAATATCTAAAAGAACTCGTGTCCAGTATCCTCTGTAGCTTAACAGCCCTAGATCTGAAAGGGGTCTTTCAGGTGTGCCAACCTTATTTTCTTTCTTGGACAGTTCATAGGCTGCACCATGTTTGAAATGACATTAGGCAATTGTTTGCAATTGAAAATCACTGAAGAACAGTGAACTTAAATTGTGTCTCTTCATATTAAAAATAAAAGTAAAAACACGAAAGAGAGAATGCAGGTTAAATTAAGAAGGGAGCTTACAAAATGCAATTAAGAACTTCCCATAGCCTTTCCTCTGATAGGGCGGAAGAGTGAGAATGCAGGCTAAATTATAGGACTCCTCTGAATGCTTTTCCTGCATCATCAGACAAAGCATAGTTTAAGCCATTTTACTTTTCTGGATCATTCTAACCTCATCACCGACAGCTTTTGAGGATTCAAAATGTCACAAACACCCTTGTGCTATAAAAAAACAAATAAATAAAATGCTACAGTTAATATTTACACAATAACTATATCTATATAAGATAAAAGGTTAAACGGATTATGGGTTGCCTTAAGTGAAAGACCAGGCAAAGAATGGTACATGATGCAGCAACAAATGCATAAAAGGTCAGAAATACTCTCAAAACTTCCCAGGAAGTTTCTGATAACATTCAAGGACTCGACATGAGTAAGCTACACAAATTACAGAACTATAGGAGCAATTGAGACCTCAAAAACAATTTATTAGGAAACAGATTATAAGATTTATTCCAATGCTCACTAGTTCATATGATAAAGTTCATAAAAATTAAAAGGCTTTGCCAGATGTAAACTTGGTCATTAGCCAAACCCACTAAATCCACCCTTATAAACTTTGATTCAACCATAACCTGTAAGATGAAAACTAAGAACTTTGAGTTGTCATAGCTGCAACTTATAGCTAAGAATTAAAATAATCAAATTTATATGACAAATAACTCCGTAATAAACTACCAGCCTAAAATTCATTTTTAAACAAAAATTCCGAATCAATACATTCTATGATAAATTTTTAGTTGAGCCACCCAGCAAAACACCCCACCTAACCACAAAAAGTCACATACCAAATGTTTAACTGGGTATATATATATATGCATATATTTATACAACACTCGACAAAAAATGCTAGTAATTCAATTACTAAAATAGAGGCACCACAAGAAGCCAAACCCAAGTACACGCAGGAACTAAGCACACAAAAAAGGGTTGCACAGGCCCTCAAAAGACAAAAAACCAACACCTCCTTATTACATTTCATTAAAATAAAAATAAAAAGTTTTTGAATGCCGAGTAAAAGTAAAAGACGAAACTGCTTCAGTTAAGATCCTGGCAACCGTACATCTTGAAAAGATATTCCTATTTCTTTCCCTTCCAAACTCTACCAGCTGGAACCAACCACCCCCCCCCCCCCCCCAAAAAAATAATAATAATAATAATTAATTATTAATAATATAACAGCCAAGATTCAAGAGGTTTCCTCACTCTCTGGTAAACACATTGTACCCTAATGAAGAATAAATTATTTGACTGTATCTTCTGTCTTCTACACGTTCAACTCCAGTTAGGCAAATCATTTTTTCTTCTTGGTCCAATTGACAACGATAAGAAATTTTTCTCTCAATGTCATCCAAGCAAAAAGTAAAAGCATTATAAATTTGACCATAAAAGTACCATTCTTTCAGGCCAGCCACCTTAATGCAAATTTTAATAACAAGCAAGCAACACTGCTTTATAGTTTACACACTACCGTTTGGTATTACAAATAGAGAAGGTGTGATCTTTGACTACAAGAATTTAGCAAAAGGTTAAATTTTCTCTACCAGGCACTATTATTCAATTTTCTCTTTTCCAGCATCCGTCACATGCAGGGTTCATTGAACCAAACCGATGCTTAGAAATTATGATTATTCGAAATCTGAAAATCACCTCACGGCTTGAACTTCTGCTACAAGGATTACAGACCCCCACACCCCAAAAAATTAAACCAAGTATATGAACTTGTTCAACAACCTTTTATAATTAAAAAATCCTCACAATTTATTGTCTTCTTTGTGAGAATTGAGTAAGTCGCTATTTTATTTCTGTCACTAGATTTGCATCCAAAAGGTTCTTAGGTACTGAAACCTACATATCAATATGCATGTGATGTTTTTGTAGGACACTAGAAACGCATTTGATGCTTAGAAATTATTGTATGCATGTCATAACATAATTTGTGAAGGAGGAGGAGGAGGGGAGAGAGAGAGAGAGAGAGAGAGAGTAAAAAAGAAAGTAAGAGCTGGCATGCGATCATGTCTTCAAAAATAACAATGAATCTTTTAGCCTGTATATATCAATTGTGACCACACTACTAGTTATATTAAAATCACAGCAAAATTCATCATAGTTTCTCCCTCTCTCATGTCTATATAAACCTGATATTTTCAAAGTTCTCATAGGATTAATTTATAATCATCCATCAAAAAATTTCAACTTATACACAAAGATATTTCATTACTGTGAAACAAGTCTCAACTTTCCAAACAATAATAATAATACTAATAATAATAATAATAATGCAGCAATTGCTGAAACCCAGAAGACCACTTCATGAGTCCCTATAATTGATTGGTGATAGGTGTGATGATCCCAGATAAAAATTAATTCCGCAGTCTCTAAGATAAGAATTGGATATAAAGAGTGTCTTTATTGTTTCATTCCAAAACCGATGATGTGGTCTACGTAAATAGTATTTTGAAATATAACTATAAGAATAATAATAAACTTCTAATTTTAACTCCAATCAATGCAATAAACCGAAAACTGCGCACCAGGGCCAAAACAGACAGGTTTTATGATAGCAAAATAATTGAATCAGATTGTAACAATCCACATATCAAGCTTTCAGTATGAAAGCCAATCCACGAATAGACAGTGGGCCTAGAAGAATGCTACCTGCATTAACATAACATTTCGAAAAAGGTATGCATCTTAGAGTTTTGGATCGTAGGTACCAGGATATTTATTACATAAGCCATGTACAAGAAACCATTAGCAGCTATGATTCACATTACAAGCTGTAATTCAATATGCATATTCACCAAAGGAGAAACTAATCATCCATTGCATAAGACAACTGCATGACACGTCCAAATGAACAGTGTAAGACATCAGGTAATACATTATGCTACATAATGTTCTCATAAAAAAATAATAATAAAAAAAAAATAAAAAATAACTTCCAACAAAGTACACTATTGAAAATCGGCCAAGTCAGCAACACGTAAGAGAAGTGCAGTGAAGCAATGCAAGAGTAAACTGAACTACCTTCGAAAAGTAGCCAACCATGTGGCATCCTCGATCATCACATTCACACAGCACATAAAAGAGAAACAGGTCAACGTCATAATAGAGGGTCTTGTGATCAAGGAACAATTTCGCCAGATAGCAAAGGTTTTGTCCATAAACCTTGTTCTTTTTTCCATCAACCTGCTTCAAAACATTGAAACTAAGGAAGTTAAATGCATGGTAGAGACAAGATCAGAACAACTAAAATTAATTGATCCCTTGAAAGTGCAAAGACATTACACAATGCAAGAGTAAACTGAACTAGAGAAGCAAGAATAATTAGGGAGTACTTAAATATTGTGATACCAAAATGAATTACTAATTGCGTGTCTGAGATCTTCATAAAATAAAAAATAAAAAAAGAAGTGCAAGTTAGAAAATTGCATAAAAACTGTAATTGTAAAAAAAAAAAATATTTTAAAAAATGAGATGATGTGTGAGCTTTTGACCATGATAATAAGCAATAAGAAGACAATCATAAATCCAAAAAATTAGTGGAAGAATGAGTGTACCTCAAACATTGACAAGGTACCGCTTCGATATATTTCATCGCCAGGGGGATGCTTGAGGTCACATTTCTTCTGCAGATAGAGAAAAAAATATATTAGAAAAAATGAATGCTGTCTCTTACATCTTCTGCTCCTTTACATCTTAAGATCAGCTAACAAAGAAAAGAAAACCAACAAAATAATAGAAAAAAATCAAAGTAAGTGTTTATCAAAAGCATGAATGTCCACCCCTCCACCTCCAACCCATAATTATAATATATATATATATAGAGAGAGAGAGAGAGAAGATGCATGAGATTCAAATATTATTCTCAAATGTCTGCCAATTCCAGTGAGGCAAGTCTACACTTCTGTAAAGCATTTTGTTGTCATTGATGTTGTATTGAACAAAAGAAATAATCCCAAATCAACTCAGCTCAACAAAGCTTCGCTCCAACTATTTGGGTTCAAATTTCAGATATATGGGTCTGAAAAAAGAAAAAAAAAAGAAAAAAAAAGTTGACCTTTCTCAACAATGTTTAGTTGTTCCATATAAATGCTAACCCGGCACGCGTACAGGAGAGGGAGAGAGCAAGCCCAACCAGGGGGTATGCTAGGAATTGTGAGAGACGCATGCATACACACACAGGCGCCTCCACAGTTGATTCTAGGGAGTTTATAATGCCGCTTCAAATGTACCATGATCATTTGCGGTGAGCTTCATTGATCGATGAGAGAGAGAGAGAGAGAGACCAACTGCAGGGCGCGGGAGAGGGGGGGGGCTATGCAGGGATTTGTGAGAAGCAAAGAGAGAGAGTGGCACCTCTACAGTTGATTCAAAAGAGTCTCTAACTGTTTCCAATGTACCATGATAATCTACTACAATGAACTGCATTGATTGACATTTCAAGGGTCTGTTTGGCAAATATTTTTGTGAGAAGCAAAGAGAGAGAGTGGCACCTCTACAGTTGATTCAAAAGAGTCTCTAACTGTTTCCAATGTACCATGATAATCTACTACAATGAACTGCATTGATTGACATCTCAAGGGTCTGTTTGGCAAATATTTTTGTGAGAAGCAAAGAGAGAGAGTGGCACCTCTACAGTTGATTCAAAAGAGTCTCTAACTGTTTCCGATGTACCATGATAATCTACTACAATGAACTGCATTGATTGACATCTCAAGGGTCTGTTTGGCAAATATTTTTGTTTCGCGTTTTTGTTGTCATATCGATGGAAAACATAAAGTAGCAAAAGAATGTTTTGTTTGTTATGTTTCGCTCAGTACCACATTTGTTTCACAAAAAAGCCCAATCCAAAAACTAGAAAATATTTTTCACTTGTTTTTGCTAATCAGCACTACTTTTATTTTTAAAAAAATAAAAAACAATATAATGTAAATGCCATATTCTTTTACAATCATCTGAACATTTTTTGTTTTTTGTTTTTTTATGAAATATTGGGCACAAAAATTAGTTACCAAATATGTTTCTATTTTGGAACAAATCACAACACAACAAAAAAATTGCTTCCATTTCATATGAAATTGAAAACACAAAAGAAAAATGTTGTTAAAAGGGCCCCTAAATTTTTTTTTTTTAGGTTACCTTTTTCCTTTTTCTTTTCTCTTACATGTTTATCAGAGTTTCTAAAATCTTTGATTTTTAAAAACCTAAATCCTAAGACTTCCAACACACTTTCAAGTTGGAAAAAATTAGAGTTTTCTAAAACCGAAAAAAGTATAAGCTGGAAATAGTTAGAATTTTAAATATTTAAATACTTGGTGCTTTTTGAATTTGGGAGTATCCAACTACAACTTCTAAGTATGTGAGTGTGTTGTGAGTATAAAACTACAACTTCAGTGCAAAATACTGATGCGGGTAATTAATACCACCATAAAACTTTCTTCCTCTTTATAAGCGTTGCATGCCATAATCTGAATTTTATTAAGCAAACAAACTAGAAGAATTCAAGCAAAGCTCACCATATGCCTCTGAAGCTGTTCTTTGCGTTTCATGAAATTGAGGCAAAACTCACAGAAGTACAGCTTCAAACAGTCATTGTATTCTGGTGGAAAGGGGGAGAAGTACCATGTCTCAATCTCGTATCTTCCAAGTTCTATAGTTGCTATATTTTTAACTTTCGTGAATTCTTCATGTTCGCGCAAGCTGGCAGCATCAAGTTCCTCATGGCCCTATATATATGAAAAGTATATCTTCAGATTATCTTTCTTCAAAATGCGAGACGAGATAAAACTACAGGAAGAAGAGAGCCAAAGCATGATAGTTGTTGAAATTCTATTCTACTTAAAATATATATGTAAAACTACATGAAGAAGAGAGCCAAAGCATGATAGTTGTTGAAATTCTATTCTACTTATAATATATATGTAGTTCCATCAGGCGTGTGTGTGTTTTCCCCTTTTCATTTTATTTTGTCGGTGAGCGTGCGTACGCGGGAAAGAGAGAGAGAATCAATATGTCAACATATAATGATGCACAAATCTAAAGTAAAAATCTTAACCACTCGATGCTTATCGTTATGGGTGCTAAATCTCTTAGAACTTCTCAATACATTAGGAGTTTCCACTTATAAATGAAAATTTACAGAATCGGATTATTATTTCTACAGCAGATTAAACTTGTTATAGACACTTCACGAATTGTGAAGAACCCAACTCAAGCACAAGAATTTACTTTCACACTGAACATTTACGTCCAATGAAGAAAAGAAGCACAATAAACAAAGAAAGAGGAACATATTTCCTCAGGTACATCCTTGGCTCTAGTTTGTTGCATGATGTTCAATAAGACAGGAGAAATGGCAGATAAACGATGATACCTGTACTATTTGACTGGGACTATAGCATAGAAAGAAAGGTGGGGGGGGGGGGGGGGGGGGTGGGGGTTTGGGGGAAGAGAGTAAGGTGCTGTTTGATAACTCAATTCATAAGGTGCTGTTTGATAACTAAATTCACAAGCGCTTATTCAATTAAGTGCATTTGATAACGCAATTTGACCATCACTCGAAACGGTAAGCACCGGGATAAAATTTTAACTGGGACATCACTTACACTATATGCTACTCAAATTTCAAAAAAATATCAAAAAAACATTTTTTTTTAATTACCACTTAAAATTCAGCACTTAAATTTTCAGGACTTGATTTTCAGTTTTATGATTTTATCAAACAGCACCTAAATCTTGCAATAACACAGTAGTGGCTCCATGTCCCATGATTCAGCGACTAGACAAATATGACATATAGTTGCACACAAATATGGTATTTGTACCCAAATCAATCTAATCATGAATTGCATGGGAAAGGAATACTCTAGTGGGGGTGAGATAGAATGCATTTTACCGACATAAGTGAACAATGGATGATGAATCATGAATTCAATTAAGTAACGTGTGATGAAACCCCAATAAACAGTGTGTGAAATATTATTTATCATAAATTTTTTTTTGACAAGTGAGAAATATAATTATCATAAATCAATCACTTAAATGAGATGTTTCACCATAAGGGAAAGTTATTGCATGGAAATATATTAATTCCTTTCCAGGTTTTTAATTATAGAGGGTATAGCTACCAAACATGTTCCATGTAGCATGCATACAGTGATCGCCCATCAAAATAATTCAACAAGGACTACTTGTTTACGCCATTGTTTAATTTATAACATATTTAGTGGTGAAAAATCATCATATAAACTGCTGCCATCACATTTTTCTACACAAAAACAGTAATGATGACAATAAATTATACTGCAGTTATAAAAAATAAATTTGGTAAACACAATGATCTTGCATACCTCTACATGTGTCTCGTCAATCTTGCGTTTCTGGTGGCGCGTCATTTTCAAGCTTGTTACCTACAAGCCTCAAGGTGAGAAAATTAGGTCAAGATCAAAGTAGTGCCAGAGCGTAAACAAATTTAAAAGGATAATATCTCCAGTAAGACTATCATAAAGATGGAAATCATGGAAGTATAACTTTCCCCAATAACCCCCAATAAGTTAGCTCAGGGGAAAAGAAATGGACATTTCCAGCAGAGTCAAGTCCAAGAGAATCTCTACTTCTAAACCTCGACATTCAGGACAATGAAATAATTCGAATGTTCAAGGAAAAAAATATAAACTGTACCTTGTCCTCCACCTTTTCATCCACAACAGTCTCAACTGAATTAAGGTCAAGTTGTTCAAGTTTAACCCACTCATCAAGCCTCCTATTGACTGTCAAAGAAAACAAACAAAAAGAAGGCAAAAGTAAATGCAAAAGAGTTGAAGATGAAAAATCAAATCGCAAAAAATTATTAAAACTAGTCTACTACTGGAACATGCATGACCAGCATACAAGTTCGGGTTTCAAAAATAATTCTACTCTCTCTCTCCAACTAAATTTTTCAATTTTCATCAGCCCAACACAAGATTCATGAAATTCTGAACTCCAAAATTCATGTACAGATGTATGACCAAATGTTTTACACTGAACTAAATACCAATCACCTCCCAATTCCAAATGCCCAATTTAAATTTTTGCAACCTATTCAGAATTCTAATTTAATCAAATATAACAATAAAAACAACAAATCACATTTCTAATTAACCTATAACCCCCACAAAGGAAAGCTTATTGAAGCCCCAATATTCTCAAACTTTCTCTCAACTACAAACCTTGCCAGCTAATCAAAGTTAACTCCAAAACCAAACCCCTAAACCTAAACCCTAGTGCCCCTTTGATTGCATGGAAAATTATAAATCTTACTCAAGTGAACGTAATACACTACAAATTGGAACATCTCTTGTTCATTGCAAAGTTATGTCCGGAACCAAACCCCTAAAGCTAAAACCTAGTGCCCCTTTCGTTGCAGACAAGACAAAAAAAAAAAAAAAAAAAAAAAAAAAAAAACCCTAATTCAACTGAACCTAAAACAATTGATGCTAATTGAAATATTTCTTCTGTTTTCTCCGCTTTCCTCGCAAGAAAGATACAAAAATCCTATACAGTTTAAAGAAAAAATATTCAAAGTACTAAAAAAGAATATCTTGCAACAAACATAAACCCTAATTTATCAGTTACTCTCAATATAGAAATTGCTGCGAACTTTAAAGTGTGTTAGAGATTCTAACATTCGGTGTAGTGAACGTAGTACTCGTAATCGTTGGGCCCTCCGATCTGCATTTTCCGCCGTTCGATGACCTTGACCGGGTGATACTTCGAGTCCCTCCAACGGCACATGACGCGAGTACCAACCTCGAGAGGAAGCATACTCGATCGTCTCTTTCTAGAAGTGTCATTTTCTGGCTGAGATCTGCCGGAATCTGGAGGCGGAGTCAGAGGTCCGTCACCGCCGGGCAGGTGTTGGTCGCCGTTTAGGGTTGGGGCTAAGCCGTTCTCTGCTTTCGTCGGTGTGTCTATCGAACCCATTCTTTTTGTTTGAAATTTCGGAAAAGAGGCCTCCTGAAATTATCGGTTGTGCCGCGATCGCAGGGTGTGCGTTCCGAATAATTACACGATTCCCCCAAAGCATATCATAATTACACTGGCAATTTGCCCAGTTTGGGATTGCTTTTTAGCGTTTAGGTGAAGTTATAAATGGTAGGCAAAAAAGCATAAAACCCCTCTCAAGTATTAGGAATCAGCATAAAATTCCCCTCAAGTATTAGGAATCAGCATAAAATCTTCTTGAATTACAAAATCGAGCAAGTCAGTCCCTCAACTATCAAAATTGATCAGTTTTACCCCCTGGCTATCCTTTCCGGCTCATTTCTTGCACAGATGAAGTGCGTGAAGTTACTTTTTGATAGAATTCCAAAACTGCCCTTACAATATGACCGATGTAGCCCTGTCTCTATAAATAGGCTCCAAACCTCATTTCTTCCTCCTCCAACAACAGCTCCCCTCACCGAGTCCTACAAATTCCTCCATATATATATATTCTCCACGTATATATATATATATGTATATGTAGATATATGTTTACTGTTTAATATAAAAATTTGTATTTTCTTAAAGTATATAGTGAACATGTATTGATAAAGTTGTGTAAATTATTTGTAGGTATATGGAACCATCTAGGACCTCCAGAAGCTCGAATAATGTATCTTATCGTGGTAGAATGCCTGAAGAATTGTATTGCTATTGTGGAATAAGATCTCCTTTGAGAAAAGCAACAACAACAGCGCATTTAGGGCGGAGGTTCTACGGATGTGGAAGTTATCCGATGAGGAGTTGTGGATTCTTGAGATGGATAGATCCCCAACACGACGAATTTCAAAGAGATTTTAATTGGAACCAGATGGAAAGAGAGATGGCTATGAGAAGAATATCATCTTTGAGAGCAGAAGTTGGGATGCGAATTTTAGATATGAACTTGGAGGTGCAACATTTACCCATTAATGATAATATGAATTTTTTGGGTGCACAACCTATACCAAGTAGCACGACTAGAAACAATGTAATCACTAATTTCAAAATTTTCATGTTAGGATTTATATCTTGTGGTATTATGATGTTAATTGTATGGTTAGTAAATCAAATATAATTGTAATGGAATATTTTTTTAATGAATATAATTGAAGCAATTGTTTCTTATCTATCATGTAGTACTATGATATACATATAGTAACACAAACTGCAAAACCTGTACCAACTCTCAACACACGCAGTCGACGTAGCATAGTAACACAACTACAAGAAATGCACCATAGTCACTGTAACCTAGCAAAATAATAAAAGGCATACAAATTGCAATTACAGATGCACCATAGTAACACAACTACAAGAAATGCACCACAGTCACTGTGACCTAGCAAAATAATAAAAGACATACAAACTGCAATTATAGATACACCACACTCATAAATCATTGTACCATAAAAAACTGAACAAACCAATAACACAAAGCTGTTCCTTTCCATACAAGTGCACCAACTTAGCAATAAAATCCAAGCAATTGCATCCAAAATCTATACTAGCTTACTGCCATTGTGTCTTTATCCATATAAGTGCACCCAAAATGTATACTGACTGCTATTGTACCATAAAAACACCAAAAAATAATTAAAGTACCATAAAGACACCAAAAAACAAAAGCTGCTCCTTTCCATTAATAAATCCATGAGCTGCACCAAAAAAAGTGGTTTGCCACCATCTATCCCCAATGTTGGCTAAAGTCTTGGGTCCCTTGTAGTGGGTCTGCCATAAGGAAAGAGATGAAGATGATGATTATGATGATGCTTAATTACTATGGAAATCAATTAAAAGAGATGAAGATGATGACTATAACGAAAATTATTTAAAAGAGATATACCTTCCTAATGATGATGATGCTTGACTACTTCATAACACATTCAAATCAACTGATGAGGATTGCGACAAATTATTCAACATATTCACATACCTTGATGGTATTGAAGTCACCTATGCAACAAAAATATTTATCTTAAGTATAACATATTCTAAAATTTATGAAAATAGGCAGCCATTTAAACATTGTACCTCATGCAGTTGTCTTGCATTATCAAGTATATCTCTGCCTTTTGCAGCACCTCCAGCCCCTCTTTCTGTTGTAGAACCTGCAGCACCTCCAACCCCTTTTCCTTTTGCAGAAATTGCAGCACCTCCAACCCCTTTTCCTCTTGCAGAAGCTGCAGCACCTCGAGGCCCTCTTTCTCTTGCACAACCTGCAGCACCTCCAGCACCTATTTGAAGCCCTTTATTTTCTCTGACAGCTACGTCTATATTGTCTGGAAGTACACTGGGTATACCAGAAATAACAGGCAGATGAGGTTTACCTCCTTTACCTTTTACTGGACCTCTTGTCTTAGGTATTGCCTCAGTTGTTTTGTACGTTTTAGTGTTGTGACCTGTTACCCCACATTTACCACATTTCAGCTTCTTATTTTTTCTGCTACTTACACCAACTTTACTGACCTCACTAATTGCCTTCTTTCTTACTTTTTTAGGCCTTCCAACTACAGGTTTACAATGAGTGGGTGTATAGGATCAGTGCCAACTTCTCTTTGCAATTGCCTAAGGGGCATAGGATATATTAGAGGGCTATATATCCTCAAATAAGTCTCTCTGTGATAACAACTGTCCACATAACGTTCAGGTTGCCCCCTTTCTAAAAGTATACATGCAATGGCATGAATGCATGGTATACCTTTTACATCCCATTCCCGACAACTACACGTTCTTTTATACAAGTTAACAGCCTCATTAACACCTTTATAATAAACCTCAAAGATATCTGCAGTAGCTTTTTTAGCAGTACAATGTCTGGAGTCATCCATTAACTTATTGAATTCAGTAGCTATACTAGGGCACAACAAGCCAGTTTGCTTTTGTATCTACTCCTTTTTGGATTGAAAGCGATGCATCACATAACCACGAATCCACTCCAACATGGTAATGAGTGGTTTATCCCTAGAATCACCAACGTTGTTATTCCATGTCTCAGAAAGATTCTTGACAACCAAATCACACTTAGAACTATCATCAAATTTATGTATTGACCATAATCTCGGAGGCACCTTTCAAGCCACTCATAAGCATCCTTATCAATTTCCTTTATAATATGCATGTGATACTTGAATACACTCTCAGTAAGTGCCCGTGATGCATCCCACATCTCATTTCTCAACTTCACCCCCTTAAACTTCTTTTTGAAATTTTCATACATGTGTTTCACACAAAATCGATGATCACAACCATACAACATGTCTTCAAATACCTCAACTAATCCCTATTAAAGAAATAATAAAATAAATATTAATTAAATTAACATGCAAACAAACATACATTAAAATAACATAAATAAAATTAAAAGTTAAAAAAATACTTTCTGCCTACCCGACATAAATGTAGATCGATATAATGGACCCAAAGCCTTCTCTAGTTGTTCCATGAACCACTTCCATGACTCTTTTGTTTCAGATCTAACAACAACAATAGCTATAGGGAAAATCCCATTGTCTGCATTCCTTCCAATTGCACTTAACAGTTGGCCTTTGTAAGGACCCTTTAAAAAACGTTCATCCACTCTAATGAATGGCCTACACCCTTCCAAGAAACCTCTTTTCATTGTATCAAAGCAAAGGAATAACCCTTCAAATCTTGCAGGCTCTTCAAGTGCTGCTCTGTCAACAGTGGTGACTGCAATGCTCACAGGGTTTGTGGCTTGAACTAAATGACAGTAGTCTCTAGCTCTGCTGAATTGTTTCCCATGGTCCCCCTGAATATGTGACTCTGCCTTCAGCTTTGCCGTATAAACCTTATATGGCGTAACAATAACATCTAAATCCCTTAAGATTGCCTTTTTCATTGCACCAGTCTTCCAGTTAGGTTCATCCCTCAAGGCTTCCATGTATTTATTTGCCAAGAAACTTACTTGTTTATTTTAGTGTAAGAGCAATAGTAAGTTGATCTAAATGTCTTTATCTCAAAACTACCATCTTCGGAGTTGATGGATGCATGTATCCCCCACCCACAGTTAGAAACACATTTAGCAGTAACTCTTTCTACCTCATTCTTGACAAATCTAATGTCATATTTCTGACTAATAGCATAAGCTCTCAAGTCCATTCTAAACTTTGCTGCAGATTCATATTTCTTTCCCACTTCAAAACCATTAACCCTTGGATTCTGTAGGTTACCAACATCATTCTCATCATCATCTTCAGATGAACCCTTTAAGCTTTGAAACTCATCACCTGGAGCATATGTTGACTCAATGTCAGAAAAATTGAATTCCCTGTCATGTAGATCAAGGTCCACTTCAGGATTAACATGTTCAGTATCAGCAAAAGTTGGCTCCACCTCAACAGATTGATATCATGTGTCATTTTCCATGTCAGTAGCATTATTATGCTCCATGTCAACATGTTCAAGCTCCACCTCATCTTCCATTTCAGCCACATACCCACGGTCCATGTCATCTTCCATGTTAGTAGTATTATCATGCTCCATGTCAACATGTTCAAGCTCCACCACCTCGTCTTCCATCTCAGCCTGTATGTGGGCCTGACCCACCCTTATTTTTCAGGTGTTCGACAGTACCAGGCTTAGAGCTTGTTCGTGGTGATGCAGATACAGTCACTCACTCTTCCAACCAAATAGGATTTTCTTTCTGATTTTAAATTCTGTAAAGTTTTATCATTTGTGATTATTAGGGGTCCATTAGATGGATTCCCAAGTTGTATGGATTGGAAGGTTTTAAATGATATTTATTTATTATTTAAAGTTTGAGGTTTTTACTTTAGATTTCTATCAGCGGATTGTTATTTTATTCTTAAATCAGTTTTTATTTTTGCTTGTTTACATATAAATTGTTTGGTATCCCTCGGATCTGTGCTCGGACTTGATCACCCGTAACTCTAGAATCGAGAGGTATCGTACATTACAGCTCGGGAATCCATCTAGTGGACCCCTAATCAAATCCCAGCTGGAAAATAAATAACTGAACTAAAAGGAAATCCAAAACTAAAACATAAATAATAGTCCTACGTAGTCGAAGGA